ACCCACTTTCAATAAAGACTAATGTTTCCACGGGTGAAGTGCTTCTTTAAGGACCCATTGAAGCATGGCTTACATGATTTTGCCTTGCAGTTTTTAGGTGTGCTAGCAAGATGGTCCTAAGCATGGCAACGTCAGTCAGTCACACTTTGGTCCAGACTAAAATATCTCAATAACTGTATGACCTTCACAGTCCCCAGAGGATGAATCCTACTGACTTTGGCAATCCTCTGACCTTTCCTCTAGTGCCACTGTGAGGTTTGACATTTGTAGTTCAGAATGAACTGCCTTGACAACTATTGGATGGATTGCAATGAAATTTGCTAACGATATTCATGGTCTAAAGAGGATACTTCAAAGTTTTCACTTACTTTGTGAAGTAGCCTGAAATTTTAACATCTCGCCATGAACTCTGGTAGACTTTCATTGTCCCCAGAAGATGAATAACTTAAATCTAGGACAAAAATTGCAGTTCATCCAATACATTGGTTTATAGCCAAATACCCACAAAACTAATTACATTCCCATTAGCCTCAACTATACTTTGTGTCTAGTCCTAATCAGCAAATGTTAGCATGCTAACATGTTAAACTGATGGTGAACATGGACCATGGTATCACGTGCCAATCGTGAGCTCAAAGCACCGCACTGTGCTAAGTGACAGAGCCGCTAGCATGGCTGTAGACTCTTATTTTGTTAGGCCCACTGAGTCAACCTGCTCTTTTCCTCAAGCTGCTTCAACTTCTCCATGTTGCAGAGTTCATTTCACACAAAGCAGCTTGCCCTGAAACACACGATCACATGCAGGAACGAGCCTGCATCATTTTGTCATGTGTTAAAGTTTCTTGCCGTTACGTTGATCGCTGCCCTGTGCTGTTATGATAACGCCAACCAAATGAAGTGCCCAAACCTCCCCTCGAACTCCAAACCTAGATTCATGGGTTGTTTGTCTTTGCACAGAATGGTTGAGCCCAGCCCTCCAGCACTGCACCTCCTCTCCAGCAGGGATGTCAGCATGGCGGGTGTTGATGTCAAAGTAGAACAGGAGGAGTCCAGCGGCGGAGGTGGAGCCATTACCAACACTGAACCTCGTAAGACGTCCCCCTCACGCGATTGGTCCGGAAATCATCCACTGGAGGCCCGCCAGTTGACGCCGCCGCTCTCCTGCTCCCCTTCGGTAAGGATGTCACAAAAGGACAGAGACAGAGACAAAAGGATGTCAACAGGCATTAAGTGTTGCAGTTTGATTTGTCAATGTAAAACCTACATCCTAACCCTGCTGTGATGCTTTGTCGGTTGATGGGCTCATTCTGTGTCCTGACAGGAGGGCTCTCCAGGTAAGGAGCTGCCTCACAGGCAAAGCCCCATGGGACTGAAGGAGGCCAGGACACATGATAGACCAGAGGGACAATCCAACTTCAAGGAAGGTAAGTCTAAACTTTTAAAATTGTCTCTCAGTCACTTTTCTGCTCTGTAGTCTCAGGACTAGTTGATAGTGCTGCCAAGACAAAAGAAGCTGTCCTAGTATTGATCATTTAATGACAAGCACTTTGTCACAATATAAAACTGAAAAATATCTGCTCTTTGTGACGTCGAAGGCGTAGCTCCTGTTATTTAGACGAAGAACTGTGACTGTGGGGACAGTTAATTCTCTTTCATAACACACTGTTTCTATCCAGTGAACTGTTTTTAATATGTTGCCAAAATAATCTTATCCCAAGGGTTCTTAAATAGCTTTTTACAGAGCTGTGTTGATACTTTTTTGAGCATCCATTAGTGAACTGAGTCAGATTGAAAATGTATTTTCATCTAGGTTATTCATTTGTCTCATAATTATGATAATTTGTTTTTAAATACTTAAGGATAATTATGTTTTACTAAAACTCAGGTCTTGTTTTAAACACACTAGCACCGAGGCTCTAGGGATGGCCATGTTCCAAGATAAAATGTCTTGAACTATTGAATAACCTGCTGTGACATTCGGTGCAGAGACATTCATGGTCCCCACAGAGTGAACCCTAATGACTTTTAGGATCCCCCGACTTATTCACTCTTGCCTCCAGCAGGTTGACATTCTTAGTCTTAAGTAAAAAAATATTATAATATAATATTATTTGCAACAGATATTAACAGCTCTTACAGAATAAATTCAGGTCAAAATCAATTTGCCCAATACTTTAGTCCAGCTGACTCCAGAGCACTGGTTCCGGAATGAAATGAACAATGAGAGTTTGAGGTGTTATGGTAAGCTATTCAATGCCGTGCCAACGAATACATCCGTGGCCGACATTACTGTTGTTCAGAGGCTGTAGCGGGCTCAGTTTTAAAGCTATAGTGAATATGCTTGTATTATCTGAAACTATACGACCTAAGGCATCCATTGATACGAAAAGTCAGGCTTAAACTTGGCAATGGAAAAACCTCTGACCTTAATAAATGAATGAAAATGAGTTCTATAGGTACCCCAAAGTTCCACTGACATGCCCACTTTATGCAAGTCCCATGCAGTTTTTAGCATGCAAATATGTTATTTTCACCTAGTGTATTTGAATATTTCTTATGGAGTCAATGAGCTCAATTGTACTCTTGTGTGATGAAGTTAATGACTGTATGAGTGATTCTCATAGTAGCCATTTCATTGTAGTGTGACCTTTTCTTGGAAACCTCACTGTATTAAATAACCTATTGTGACCTCTAGGATTATCACAGCCTCATGAAACTGTACAAGCACAGACTAGAGACCGATTGAAAAGAAGTTGGCATGAAAAGGTTCACTGGCGTATTACATCATCCAAAGCCGGATGCCCCCCCACTTCGAAAGTCATTCTGGCACCACTGCTCCAGAGTGTTTAGTGATAATTAGCAAATGTTAGCCTTCTAATAAGCAGTGAATCGATAAGTGCACTACCACTGGGGGACACCAAAGTCAGACGTTTTCCCACTCTGCACATAGTATTATATATATTATATATGTTATATATTATATATCTTTAATATTTAACATGCAGACATATGATCAAATGAATGAAAACTGCAGTTGATGCACTTTTAATGCTATAGATCAGGTTGTTTCTGTAGCACTCAGTAGCATGTGAGACGGTAAACTGACTTGTATTTGGATCTGCTCTAAATTCACCTCAGCATTCAAAGTTCTCACCATGTTAGATTCAAAACCCTGGTGTCAGTGCACCTCACCAGTCCGTCTCCTTCCTGCACCTGTTTTATTTCTTTCTATGGGAGTCTTTCTCTCTTACTTATACACACGGCCATACAATTTTCTCACCGACCAGACTTTGACGACTCCATATTTTATGTGTTTAAGTGCACCGCATTCTGCTGCTATTCAGCATTAAACAATTCAGTCTGCTGAAAATCGATGCATAGAAGTGACGGCTTGTCTGGTGAAGCGAGGGTGTTGTTTTGGTTCCTGAATGGGTTCAGGGGGATCAGGGTGCTTTTTTTTTTTGTCTGATTTTGTTCAGTCCCTCACACGTGGAGTAAAAGGCTGCTCTCCGAGCCGCTCCCTGCCCTCAAGCCTTTCACCAGCCTGCACTCTTCGCCTTAAATTTTTCTCAAGTTCTATCCACTAGCTGACCTTGGATTGTTCTCTGTCCAAATATTGATCCACTCAAACACTCAAAACTTCTCCCAGACGCGCAAACAACCTCTGCCCTTCGGCACCTCAAATGTCTTCTTCAATCAATGCCATTAGGAAGGCAGAGGAGAGGCTGAGAAAGTAGTTTGGTGTCAGATAGATTTTATTTGACAGAAAATATTTTTCATGCCATCTAGTGCAACCCAGTGCGGTTCTGCTGAGTACCTGTTGTGTCCTGTTAACAGTAATGCCTACCATTGAGAAGCTGCTGAATGTTGACTGGAAGGAGAAACTTCTGGATAAAAGCACAGTGGGGGCAGGACAACTGAAAGGTCAGCTTTCAGACACTACCAACACCTTTATACCATTTATACACCACTTATAAACCCTTGTTTCCAACACATTACTTTTAGTAATATATCTGCCTTATCTTTTCATTTTCTATGATCGTCATTTTCTTTATGAAGTGAAAAATGTTATGTAACACTTTTCAAATGCAATACCTGGCTGCGTGCAGTAATTTGGTGCACCACTGGTTGGATAATTTTGCTGTCAAAATTGTTGGTTTCATCTTGTGTTCCCTCTAAAATCAGGGAAAGTTGGGACAAAACCAAACAAAAGGATGCATCTGGAGAGACAGAAGCAGGAGGAAAAGACTAGCCAAATTATATATATTATCACCAGGCGGCAGACGTTCACAAACTAATGTTGAGAGGGACTCCATTGTCATTGTCCCACTGTCGTAACCACACTGAGGTCGCATATGTGATTCCGCTTTTATCTGAGTATCTCACTATTTATTTACCTCTATTATTTCACTCAGTTTAGTTGTTGTCCTTGCTTGTAGTTTTGGCAAGTGATGGAAAATACATGACAATCAAATATTAAAGATAGTTTCCTCTTGTGAGAATGAACATAACACCAAATTGTCCAATGTCTTTGCTGTTGTTTTATTGAATAAAATGAAAGAGGAATGTTTCAACCCAGAGAACCATATGTACATGTACCATGTCTAAAATAAGTAATAAAAACTAACTTTAAAAAAAAGATATTTTTTGGAAAATGTAACCAGTATATAGTACAGTATGTAGACACAACAAATGTAAAAAACTAAAAAATGGCAATAACATTTTTTTTTTGGCCACTTGGGCACAGCGGAAAATAGTTGTGACCAAAAAAATGTATAGAAACCCTTTACCATCCAACACTGATCATAACACGGTTTGTCATGAAATATAAGTGCTCAACCAGTTCTTAGAGAAACCTGACGCTCTGATTCCCGTCCAGGTACCCAGGAGTCTCTGGCAGAGAAGGAGCTCCAGTTGTTGATGATGATCAACCAGCTGAGCGGTCTGAGGGAGCAGCTACTGGGAGCCCACTCTGAGCAGAGGAACATGGCTGCCTTGCTGCTGGAGAAGCAGCAGCAGCAGATGGAGCTGGCTCGACAGCAGCAGGAACAGGTACCACCACCAATCACCGAGCCCCAGAATTCATCGTCATTCTATTCGAACCATACAAATATGATGTCAAAATCAAATTGCTGTGGCTCTGCTGTCCATTAACTTGATGAAAACTATAATGGGCCTTTATGACACGGTGGATCTGGAAACAAAGGAATCCCAGAACCTAAATCAGGAACTCTCCGCATTCGTGTTTATGTTTTGACAGCATATGAAGGAGCATGAAGACTAGGCAAATTAGACAGATGAAATTAAAAGAGATCTTTGTTTGGGATGTCATTTTTGCACACAACGAGACTGCAGAGACAGAAAACATCAGTTGGCGTTAGTTTTGGGTGATTTTAGATAATAGTAGAAACATTAATTTCATTTAAAAGTCAGTAACATTAGAAGTAATTCCCATCCTAATATCGATATTCGTGACCACCGGTGCTTACTTGCAGTCTGAATGGTGCTGGACACATGTTTTAGCAGCCTTGAGGCTTGTTTTTGATCGGTAAACTCACTGAGCACTTAAAAAAGTACTCGAGCATTTTAGCATTGTACTTCTTTGACACTGTCAAACCCAAGAGGAAGAGTTTTTTTTTTTAAAAAGGACCTAAATCGATTTAGCAGAACTAGAGATACCATCTTTTGTATTCCTTGTCAAAACCTTGCACTTAACTACATTTACATTACCCACAATGCAATTGTGACCACTGAAGATTCAGTCAGAGATTCGGGTGTGTTTCTAGTGGCTAATGTCGTTTTTTAAAAATGTTATCAGATTTCACAAAGCTTCCTATTGAGCCACAAAAGGCTTCATACAACTTTTACACAGTAGTACTCTCCTCCTCAACACTTGTAAACACACCTTTATATGTAAAACAGGTGGAATTCCCCTTTACCAAACTTTACCCAAAGAGTTCCCGGACTGTCAGAAAAGAGCTGAGACTTTTTGTTGGGTAGCAACTGTGTTCAGACATCTAAAACTAGAACCACATTCCTGCAGTTGAAAAGCAGGTAACGTTCCCGACTTTCTAAGAAGGTTCTTTTGTTCCTGGAAAAGTTCCCGTGTTCAAAGTCACAGCTTGACAGCTTGCTCACATATAAAATGTTTGCCTTAACAGTTGAACAGTGCTGTTTATGTAACACTATATACATAATAATGTGTACCTATTCTTGACTTCAGACCAATTTAAACTACAAGGAGTTTTTAACTTTTTCATGGTGCCTCTATATGACCTACATAA